TATCGTCTTACTTCTGATAACAATTGTGACATTTCTTTTTCTTCAAATGGTTATGTCATAAAGGATCGGATAACCCAGAAGCCTCTTCTTCAGGGTCCGTGTATTAACGGACTGTATCCTCTATGTGGTCGACCAAGAATATTGTCTTCTTCCAATAATCTTGCTCTCATTTCTGTTCAGCATGTTCCAGATCTTTGGCATCGGCGTTTGGGACATCCGTCTCATGCTACTTTAGCATATCTTTGTAATCAAAATCTCGGGATATCATGTTCTGTTAACTCTTCTTGTAGTGTCTGTCGTATGGCCAAGAGTCATCGACTTCCTTTTGTTCGGTCTCAAACACAGTGTATGCAGAAATTTCATCTTATACACTCTGATGTTTGGGGACCATCGCCTACGTCTTCAAATTGTGGTTTTCGGTATTATGTTTCGTTTATAGATGATTGTACCAAATTCACTTGGGTATATCCTCTGTTACGAAAATCTGATACTTTTTCTAAATTTTTTGAGTTCAAGAAAATGATTGAATGTCAATTCAATGCTCATATTCATATTCTAAGGACCGATGGAGGAGGTGAGTTTGTTAATGCTCATTTTAATTCTTATCTTAAGCATTGTGGCATAATACATCAGTTCACATGTCCCTATACTCCTGCTCAAAATGGTATTGCTGAGCGAAAGCATCGCCATTTAGTTGAAACACTTCGGTCGCTTCTTGTTGAAGCATCTCTTCCTCAGTTTTTATGGGTAGAAGCCTTATATACTTCTGCTTATTTAATAAATCGGCTTCCTTCTGTTAATACTCAAAATATGTCTCCTTATGAATTGTTATATGGTCAAATTCCCAAATATGATCATTTGAAAGCTTTTGGATGTCTTTGTTTTCCATGGCTTCGTCCATATACTTCTAATAAATTTTCATCTTTATCTAAATCATGTGTTTTCATTGGTTATGCCACCTCACAAAAAGGTTATCGGTGCTTTGATCCTACTACAAACAAAGTGTACACGTCTCGTCATGTTGTTTTTGATGAGGCGGTTTATCCTTTTGCTCAACAAACAAATTTATCTCAAGTCCAGGTTGTTTCTAAAAATATACAACCTTTGCTGCTTGTTCCGGCTTCAGGGTTACCACATAATATTGCTTCATCTCAAGTCTTGATGCCGTCTCATGAATCTCGGCCTCAATCCATGTCTGTTACAAACACTTCCACAAATTCTGTTGTCAATACTCCATCGGGATCTTCTTTATTGCCCTCTCAGTTGCCAATTGTTTCGGAGAAGCTTAATGCTCATCCCATGCAGACAAGATTGCGAAGTGGTATTGTTAAGCCAAAACAGATTTTCAATTTGTCTCATACAATTCAAACGGCTGATCCTAAGAATTATCAGCAAGCTTCGAAGTTACCTCATTGGCGTATGGCTATGTCTACTGAATTTCAAGCCCTTCAATCAAAGGGTACTTGGGAGCTAGTTCCACCGGATTCTACTCAAAATGTATTGGGTTGTCGCTGGATTTATCGTACAAAGTTGAATTCAGACGGGACAGTAGCAAGATACAAGGCTCGGCTTGTAGCTCAAGGATATAATCAAGAATATGGTCTTGATTATTATGAAACATTTAGTCCAGTTGCAAAGATGCCCACGGTTCGTGTTCTTATTTTAGTTGCACTACATTATAATTGGAAAATTGTTCAACTTGATATTTCCAATGCTTTTCTTCATGGTCCTCTCTCGGAGACTGTTTTTATGCGACAACCATCTGGGTTTGCTGATCAAAATCATCCACATTATGTTTGTCGTTTAAAGAAAGCAATTTATGGACTTAAACAATCCCCGCGACAATGGTATGCTACATTGTCTCAACATTTGCTCAAATTTGGTTTCAAAATAAGTGCAGCTGATCCTTCTCTCATGGTTTATCATTCTGGTTCAGTTTCTTTATATATACTCATCTATGTAGATGATATTTTGTTAACCGGAAACAATCAAACCACTATAAATGAGCTTCTTCTTAGCTTACAGAAACAGTTTTCGATGAAAAATCTGGGACAATTGTCTCAGTTTTTGGGAATCCAAGTATCTACAACTCAGTATGGAATGCATTTGAGCCAAACTTTATATGCTAAGCAGATATTGGAAAAAGCTGGTATGACCGGTTCGAAACCTGTGGCTACTCCAAGTGTTTACAAGCCGTCAGCTGTAACAGCTACAGAAGCTGAATTTGAAAATCCTCAGCTTTATAGACAATTGGCTGGTTCGTTGCAATATTTGACACTAACCCGACCGGATATCACGTTTGCAGTACAACAAGTGTGTCAATATATGCATAAACCACTTATATCTCATTTTCATAATCTTAAAAGATTATTGAGGTATATTCAAGGAACACTTGATCAAGGTTTGCCATTATACAAAGATGAGCTCAAATTACATAGTTATACTGATTCAGATTGGGCGGGAGATTCAACAGACAGGAAATCAGTTACAGGTTATTGCAATTTTTTGGGAAATTCGCTCATATCATGGCAAGCAAAGAAGCAATCAACTGTTGCAAGATCATCTACAGAAGCTGAATATAGAGCATTGGCAACGGCAGCTTCCGAAATTATATGGCTGAGAAGGTTACTGGCTGATTTTCGGATTTCTTCATTAGAACCTACTCCCGTATTTTGTGACAACACTTCTGCAATTGCATTGGCAAATAATCCTGTTTTTCATGCTCGAACAAAGCATATTGAAGTAGATTGTCATTTTATTAGAGAATGTATTCAATCTCAACAAATAATTGTACATCATATAAGTACTAAGGATCAGATAGCTGAAATTGTAATTTTTACAGGTTTTGTATTTTCTGTAACTGCTACCATTTAATAGAAGGGCAAAGCCCCAAATTTTCCAAAAAAAAAAAAAAAAAAAGTCATACGGTGATACTGCGGATAGGACTGTAGCAGCGGCGGGTATGGCTTCGGCAGGGATTTGCGGGATGGGGTCGGTCGAAGCCTCAAAGGAGCTCAAGAGGATCTCACAACTGATTGGAGAGGAGGCGGGCTGGACGGAAGAGCTGCGGGAAGGAGCTAGGGCAGAGGTCGTCGAGTGGAGTTTGCGAACAGAGGCCGGCGTCTGATGCAGGTTCGGGCTTTAGTTTGGGAAGAGCAGGTGGTTGGAGATGCTTGGTCGGCTTGGAGGCGGGGCTGCTGTTAAGGTTTGTATGTGACAAGGTAAGTCGAAGGTAGTGGTTGGTATGCTTGTGGTATGCTTGCAGCTGGCGTTGGCTAGGGATGGAGAGGTTACAAGTAGAGGCTGAGAGGGTCGGGCTAGGTCTTCGGCTTGATCTTGACTGGCGGAGAGATGAAGGTTAGAAAGGGAGTAGGCTTGTGAGGGATTTCGGAAGACAGCGACGGCAAGGGATGGAATTTGCGACTACTATGGAGGTCAGATGGAGGTTATGTCGAATGGAGAGCTTGAAGTCGGCGGGCAAGTAGGAGTTTGTTGCTGGTGTGGAGGTCGAAGGAGGAAGGGGAGTCGGCGGCTTTCGGCTGCTTGGATTCGCAGGAGGAGATCACAAGCGGGTCTGTGGGAAGGAAGGGGAGGTCCGACCGTTGGAGCTTTGACGGGATCAAGAGGAAGACGGGTTGCAGCTCTCGGATCGTGGAGGCTTGCGATGGGAAAGGATTTCTGTGGGGTTCGGCTGTGTGTGGAAGAAGCCGAGAAGGCTTGAGTTCGCTCTCCTTTTAACGACGCAAGCAGGGCAAGAAACGAGACGATCTCGTGGGATATCTGGACTGCTTCGGCGCCATTTCCAGGAAAAATTATTAGGTGCGGGTCCGCACAAGTATTGGGAGCACCCGCCAATGCTTGTTGCGGACGGTGATCCCTATCCGCACTCCGCACCTAATAATCTCTCAATTTGCAGAGATAGGATTGTAGCAGCGGCGGGTCTTCGGCGGGATTTGTGGGATGGGTAGCCGGCTTCTCAGGTATTTTATTTTTTAATTTTTTGCTTTTGCTTTAGAGGTCAACAAGAATCATTAGACTTGAACGGATAATGGATAACATGTTTTATTTAATGCCAATAAGTAGGAGCGAAATCAGTCTTAATTTTGAGGCGGGCGAGGGGGGGACAAATTTATAAGTAACTGTTGGTGTTGCCTTGAATTTGGCTGGACCCTTAAAAATAGTGATAAAAAAAAAGATCTCTAAAGAAATCTTTTAGCTATCAAAAATAACTAAGACCTCTAAATAAAAAAGGAAATTTGATATTTGTTTATATTCTTGATCGTCGTATGTTTCGCAGATATGTTGAGGGTCCAAGGTGGTAGCACCCCTTGGCGCTGTTCAAGCCTGTCTAAAGAGATATTTTTGAAATAAAATGATGAATTCTCTTTACTATTTCTCTTTGTATTTGGTCATCTTTATCTAACCATAACACCTCTATACAATGTGTTTGATTATGCTGGGAGCAATTGCCTAAAATCATAGTATTTTAAAACTTTTAGGAGGGTAATGACCTAAAACCCTTGTAATAAAGACTAAAAAATAGACGAATGGGGACAAATTACGTAAAGAATCATGTAATAAATTTTTTTTTTAGTCGGGCAATTTGCCCCACGAGCACGGAGGGGATCTGCCCCTGTCGGTAAGCCTTTAATTTACTTTTACATACGAAATATGTTGATGAAGAGATTAACACAAATGGAATTCGACTTAAGTAGACGTAGTATTTGTGCTGGAACTTTTTTAATTCATTTCTCTTTTATTTTTTGACCTTCTCTCAAACTTCTGTTGGTCTTCTTCAATGTTCCAACCAAATCACCACGCCACAAAACAACTACCGTTTGATACAGTTTGGATGACTGTTTTCAATTGTTGTATCATCTATGTTGTATGTGCACAGTAGCATTAGACATATCCGTTCACATAACTACTTTTTGCAAACCTTTTCTAGTTGATGGGCATTCCTGTGTTTTCTTTTTTAATAATTTATATGATTTTGCTAGTTGGAAGTGTTCAAGAAAACCCTGATGCAGTCACTTAAAGAAGAAGATGAAAGTTCTGTGAGTTATCCTATCCGAGAATATTGTTGTCATATGTTCCCCTTTTCCAACTTTCATTCTTGCTTTGATATTAAGTATGATGATTTGATTTTTTATATCCATATCCAACTTTGAAGATTTATCTCTTTTTGTTAAGCTTTGGCTCTCTAACTAAACCCATTTTCTATAGCAAGTTGGAGCTTCTAGGATGGCCCAGATGCAGATTTCAAAAGCATCAAGTTTTCCATCTCGATCTCACCTGGGAGGTATGAATAGTAATCTTAATCGTTAACTTTATTAATGTTTTAACAAATTTACTCGTTTTATCAGAAGAGGATTCTTCGAATCGAACTCCAAAGTTATTTTCCACATCAGAAACTGGCTACGGAATTTCTAATGATGGTGATTATAGTGATGTGGATGGTAAGATCGCACTTTTCCTGGAATTAAGGGTGCAAGTGACTTTCTCATAAGCACTTCCTGTTGTGTTCACGAAATTTGCAGCTTCTGAACATGGAACATTACGTGGATTTGATTTACCATCACATGGCGGAACACCAAGGCTTACTCCTCCAGGATCTCCTCCTAAGATAACGGTAGGGTTAACATCAAAAAGGCTTTCCCGACCAATATCTCCAAGAAGACATTCCATTTCTGTTACCTCCACAAGAAACATGGTTGACGATAGGTCGGGAATGTTTTCATCAATGCCAGCGACCCAAAACAGCTCTATTACTTCTCCATTTGACGCAGGAGCACAAACAGGTGAGCATTCGTGATGCATTTGACAGATATCTTATCGATATGATTAACAGTCTTAAATCGTCCAGAAAAGTAAAATATATCAGAAGACAAAAGTTTGAAAGCTTAAATCAAAACAAGTCTGTCTTACACTGAAATTTTATGATATTCTTCAGAAAATATGCTTTAATGAGGGATATATTTGGATATTTGGTATTTCATTCTATTTTGAATAATAAACATTATAATCTTTACCATACAAATAAACTCTATTTGGTAAATTCTTTTGTTGGCCTACATAATCAGAAGTCCAAAGCTTGAAAGCTTTAGTAAAGAAATTTAAAAAAAAAAAAAAAAAACAAGGGAAGATTGATGATTTTCCTTGGATGCTTATGCTTTGATAAGCCGGATACTAAGATAATCATGAAGTTTTTATTATCTTTATCGTGCAAGTAAACTGCTCCTAGATTTTATGTACGTTTTTAGTGTTCAAAGAAAATTATTTGTTAGAAAGATTAGCTCCATGTCTGTAATGTAAATACATGTTTTTTATATTTTTCATTGTATGCTATCATTTTTAATTTTCTCATCAAATACCATGTTACTGATGGTTCAAATATACATTTTGGAGCCCTCATGAAGTCATTTGGAAGTGATAGCTTGTTGTTCTATAACTAGCAGCGAATGCGTATCATCCAGGAATTGGTTTGGTGCAGCAGCCCCTTTCCTAGTAGTTCATTTTTTGATCTTCTTGTAATAACTTCTCCTTTTCTGCCATTTTTCATAAAGTGAAAAACTTTAAATGTTCCTAGTTTTTTGAACACTTGCAAAGTTATTGATCAACTATCAGATACAAATTTTGATCAACTATTAGAAAATTCAAACTACTAATTCTCGCTCATTTAATTCTCTGTGTGATTTGTTTCAGGACGAACCAGGGTTGATGGAAAAGAGTTTTTTCGTCAAGTTCGGTATGCCGGTGATAATGAAATTTCTTAAATATATTTTTTCTTTTCTTTCAAATAAGAATGATTTTTTTTTATCAGAATATCTTGATAAAAATTTAGTTAGAACCAGTCTTAAAACTATTAAATTTTCTCTTAGATGATCATAATATATGAATAATTAGTCAAAATTTAGTATAAACTCATCATAAAACCAATGTAATTATCCTCTTTGTCATCCTTCCTCATTCGAGTATAATGAACCTATTTGGATTCGCTTTGTTCTGTTCAGGAACCGCTTATCTTCTGAGCAGTTCAGTGCATTTCTAGCCAATGTCAAAGAACTAAACTCACATAATCAAACAAGAGGGGTATGCAAATTTCATTTTTCTGCTACTTCGAGTTCTTAGCTCCACTGCTTTCTATTTTTTAAATTCATTTTTCTGCTATCTCGAGTTCTTAATTATTTAAGTGTTTACTATTTTTTCCAATATTATTAATGTAACCACTCATTTAGGAAACTCTGCGCATGACTGATGAGATTTTTGGTCCTGATAACAAAGATCTGTACACAATCTTTGAGGGACTTATTACCCGCAACCTTCATTGATATGTAAGGCAGTGGTATTGGTTTTTTTACTTAAATAGGCAGGTTGTAATAAAAAAATGGCTACTAGCTGTTTTATTTTATTTTATTGTCTGTTAGACAAATTGTCTATTAGGGTTCATTTGGTTTCTTGTAGATTAAAAAACTATATTTGAAATTGGTGATTTCACATTTATTCATTTTATGTGTGGAAAAATAATTTTTTTTTAAAATAAAAATATTTGTAAGGTTTAAACTTCTTTTGGTTTTCATCTACATCAAAGCAAATTAAGTTAAAAAAATTACGATTTTTATAATAAATTTTAACTTTAAGCAACCAGATGAGCTCTTATTATATTACAATTTTATTCTTTTTGAAAAAGGGTAAGTGGAGTAGACTTGTCAATAATTTTAGTTTTCAATAATTTACCTGACTTGTCAATCTGATCTAAAAAAATTCTGATTTGAGTTAAGCTCAGGTTAGGTTTTTCAATCTTTTAATTAAATAATTTGGGTTTGGGTTGGCCCATGAATTTGTTTTTGATCTGAAAATAATATTTAATATTATTTTCTTAATTTATTTTACATGTGAATATAATCTTATTATTATTTTTATCAAATATTATAAATTTTATAATTAATAAGTTATACTTTTTTAACAAAAAAATGGGTCAAATTTGGATCATTCAGATTGCTAGCGAGCTGAGTTTGGGTTGATATTTTGGACTTTTTTATCAAATGAGTCGGATTTGAATTGATTGAATTTGGGTCGGATCAATTTTGTTGATATGGGAATCTTTTTTATCTAGAAAAAATAAATGTCTAAAAAAAGAAATTCGAAAGTTGGTTTGATTTTAAATACAATTTTAAAGCAGGATGAACTTTGACCATTTTCGTAAGTATTTCTTGTTGATGATTATTATATGGTTTAATTGAATACTTTAGTTAAAATATCTGCTACTTAAATCGTTCTAATACATAGGTTGATATTTTTCAATAATGTATTCTTTTTCTAATGGATCGTTCAAAAGATATCTATCAAGGTATGCCAAGGGTTCTCGCACTGGAAAGGAATTCTCTTTGGGGAAACTCACTTAGAACCATCAAAGAAACTCATGTGAGGAGATCAACAAGCTCTATTCACCTAAGCATACTAAGGAGCTCGCCTTGCATTAGGCTAATCGGAGATTCCTTATTGAATCGCTACTCACCATTTCCTCACTGATTGGCTCTTCTTTAGAACATTTGAGCTCTCCTAGCTTAGCTATAGGAAAGCATCTACTAAGAGAACTTACACAATTTAGTTACTACTTGTTAGCTTAAAGCTCTTCATTCCCGCAACATCTCGCTCGCCCTTCTCCTTAGGGAGGCCTAAGATCTTCCACCTAGAGATCAATCATGCTCGACCACTCGCTAAGGGGCTCACTCGTAGAGTCAACTTGTCACCACCTAGCTCCCCCAAAGAGAGCTTGCATGTTCACTCCATCCTCCTCCAGCTAATTAGGAGGCGATACATGTCTAGATTAACATGTAGCATTGCACGGGTATTCTAAGAAGCTTGTAATTTTTTTTTTACTTTTTTCTTTGTATAGCTTTATCTATAGCCCTTAGAACTATAGAAATAAGAGGTGATGATGAACCGTTTAAGGGACCCTTGAATTTTCTCTAATAGTAGATAGTATGCCAATTTGAGATCTATATTTTTTTTCTCCAATCTCTTTCTATTCTCTTTGCACTCTCCATTCTTATATATGTGCTCTAGCTCATCGGATTAACTTATCAAGCTTATATGATATTATGCAAGTGAACGTGTCATTCAAGTAATATTGTGATGAATGAGTGTCATTCCTTAGAGGAGTCAGATTTTTATTTTTAATTTGTTAAGTACTAATTTTTATATTTCACCAATTTATCTTACCATAATCATAATTTTTTGCATGTTTGTAACATGGAAATTTACAACACTCACTAGGGCTTTTCTAATTTTTATAAATTGTTTGAATTTATGACTGATATGGCACTTATATATATGTAGAACTTGTCTTTTGAATTTAATTGCAAGTAAAAGCAAATTTAAATTCTCTTGTCTCTATCAAGCTCATTGGAATTCTAATGAAGTATATGAAGTGTACTCTACGCTAATCATCCACTTCACCACACGAGTTATATTTCCTTAAAGGATTCCTAAACCCTAAGAAATCATGTCTATATTCTTATAGTTTTGTTCATTTGTTCCACTACACCCCCATTAAAGCTATAGATCAAACTAGGTTTTAAATTAATGATTGACCATTCCACTACTAAATTATAAATCAGGAATCATGAAATAATTATTTATTCCATTTATAAACTTAGTCCTATTCTACATAATGTATAATTGCCACGTTAGAACATAAATCCAAACATAAAAATCTAGCCTCTACTTTGCATGATAAACAAAACACAAGTCATGATTGTAATTAAAGAACATAATAGAAGTTAAAGAGTAGAGAAATACAACTTGAAATCAATGCTTGAAATAAGTTTTTCCTCACAAAAATATGAGTCTTGCACTTCCATACTATCTCCTTAAGTATAAAAGTTACAAACCAAAAGACAGTACTAGTGCTCCCTCCCCAAATGCCCTCCTCTCAAAAAAGTAGATCATCGATTTATAGATGGTTAGTTTGGCCTACAATAATGAGGTGCTAGTATGGTAGCATTATGACTCTTTATGTAAATCATCAAATCTCTTTGGATATAACTAGCAACTGTGGTGCTAAGGTGTTTTTGTGCTACTTTGGCTGCTATGGAGATTTGGCATTATGGTGCTATAGTTCCAAATGATCAAGTGTAGCAATACCAAGTCAACCTAGGTTAACCAATCAACTTTAAGGGCATTTAAACATGTATTTCAAACCAAATGAGTTCCTCATTGCATGAGACATTTTCCAATAAGTCTAAAATGTCATTACGAATTGTTTGGACCCAACCTAAATCCCTGGTTAAACCTAGTTGACCAAGTCAAGCATGCCTGGCCAAAATCCTACTTACACCTTTCAAAAATTCAAAATCAATGCTCTAGACTTTGCCAACCCAAATTAACCTATGGGGACTATCCATTGGGACCCTAAGGGTCACCCAAGAAAGTTTGAGCCCATGGGCCCACCTAGTTTATCCACATGGGTTGAACCAAGTAAACCCAAAGTGGTTTTCTTGAGCTAAAATCCAATCCTTATGAAATTAAATTGCATCAATGCTTTCACTAGGTGTCCCTTGACCCATTGCATTTAACCCAGTAAGCCCAGCCTATGGGTTAACCTAGGTCAATCAATTGGGCTAACCCAAACCTTCAAAAACCTAAATCTTGTGCCCATTGCTAACCCAGCCCACATTAAATCTTATAACTAGTTGAATTTCATTCTAGAATATTCATTTCACTTACCATGTTAATCCCTTATCATGTGGGCAGCTGATGTGGCAAGATTGCTCAAAATAATCTCCAAATAACGATTGGTTTAGTTATAACTTCTTGAAAACTGAATCACATGGGCTGTCCTTTTTTAGGTGAGTTTCTTAGCTCCTATTGGTTAGTCCCTAACTATTTTGACTGCTAAGGTGGTTTGGACTTGGCCACAATCAAGTCTATATATAATTTTCTCTCTCCTATAAATACCCTTATTTTTTTAATAGGATTGGTTATTTGCATCCATAAGCCTCATAGCAACTCCTCAAGTCTCCCTCAAGCATTCCCCAACCTTATTCAGTTCCTTGAAAAGTTCAAGTGAGGAGTTCCAGGAAATAAGAGAGAAAATCTTCTCACTTGAGCAACTTTCCATCTAGTAGATTTCAAGGCTTGAGGTCTTCAAAGAAAATCTAGAATACCTCTCCAGGAGTCTATAGAGCCTAAGAACAAGGGATTTCATTATCTGGATTGAGGTATTTGCCCAACCCTAGTTTAAAACTTTATTTGAAAATAACTTATAAGCCCCTCTATGGGTTTTACCTATATATATATATATATTGATACGTCCTCAAAAAATTATTTGGATCGGGCACAAATCTCGATGCAAAATCAAGTTGGAAACTTCAAAAATTATTTTGGAGGAACTCCGATTTCAACAAACTTACAGTCGAACTGAGCGTCTCAAAAATACGAACCCAACGACACCAAATTTGACTCAATCC